TTCTTAAAAATTATGTGGCAGTAAATGTTGTCTTAACTTGATTCGTTTAAACTCTACAGCATGGAAAATAAAGTTTGTCAGGGAATAAAAATAAGTGAGTAGCTTCAATTATCCAAAACCAATTTGCATTCCAGTGTTCACAGAAGTCGCCTATAAATAGCTCATTAAAGAATACTCTAATTCGCTTTTCACTAATTAATAATGTTTGGCAATTTTTGTTTAAATCGGTATAACAGTTGGTCAAATTGATCTCTCATATATGTTTTTAATAATAATGCAGATTTATGCTATTAAAATGCTTACTTTTGTTTATTTGTATTTATCAGAATGATAAATGCATATTTATTCATTACAAAAATATGACAAATACCTTACTAACAATGTTTATGTTATGTCTATTAGGCCCCCCTATTATGAAGACTAATAGTTTATCGACTGTGTTCAAGGGATGCGTGAACATTATATTAGATTCATACACGCATATAAGTTAGGACATCCATAATCCAAATCTAATTTTGCTACCTGTCATTGAAATGAATCTAAGTTTTTATATGATATAGATAAAATCAAGATAAAATAACAAAATTATTTCAATTCAAATAGATATTTACATCTCAAATAAACTTAAGGACAGATGGTTTTTTTTTTTTTTTCTTTTGTTATACTGATAGACACAATTTATATTCACTTGCATTGAAAAACATTTTTTCTATAATAAATATATTTCTTACATGACATGCAATTTTTTTTAATGAACTCAAATATTGTGAATACTTTTATAACCGCGTGTGAATACATATATATTTCCATTTTCTTTTATCTATTTTACAGTAAATAAATGTATATATGGACCAGCTCTAATTGAGCAACTGGACACACCTCAATCTAAATCAGGTTTTGCATTTGAGGAGTCAAGATTTAGAACCTCACGTTGACCGCAATTTTATCAATAACTTATGCAAAATATATTGTTTATTAGATTTAAGTATATAGTGGTGGTTCAAATGTCACATAAAAATGGTCAATTCAAACTTGAATTATTGTTTTAAAAAATAATGAATAATAAACTAATAAAGTACGGTGCAATTCACCGAATTGATGATAAAATTAATTAAAAGCCAAGGAAGACATAATAAGGTGTTCATTATTTCAGTTTAATTCTAAATTATTAATAACACGATAACCCATACGTATAACTCTGGACATTGGCAACTGTTCCTATATGAACCTAATGTTGAACACATTGCCTAATGTGGTGGCCTAAATGCTATAACACTAATAAATCTTATACATGCACTTGCTAAATCACTAATTTTTGTTTAACAATTTGATTTATATCAACAAGACTTTTATTATCAACCATGGGATACTAATTAATTAAATTGATATATTACATCACCGATCGAATAAAAAACTTAATTAAGTTTATAATATATTTATAATTCAAATTAGTCAAATATTTAATAATTTTAAAATTCTATTAGTATAGATAAAAGTCTAGTCCTACATGGAAAAGGAGAAAGTATTTACACAAACCAAAATCCACGAATAATATTATGAAACACTAGTAGTTAACAATTATAATTGATAAACATCATGTTTGTATATACATAGTGATTTATGTAAATATTTAACAATACTAATACTAAACCCTTATATTATAAGTGTATTAATTAAAAAAAATACTTTAAGAGATTTTAAGAAAATATATATTATTTGATTTTTTGAATATTCCTTAAAGATGTATCATTTTTATATGTGCTAAAGAAATTCCAATTGAAGATCGTCAAAAAAAATAATTAGGTTGATAAATTATTTAAAAAATTGGTAATGTTACGTAACCGGTATTTTATTATTTTAAAAGTTCCAAAACATCAATTTCAAGAACAGGATTGTTTAAGCTTTAGAAATAAACTAGTTTTTGTCCCGTGCATTTGCACGGAAAACTATATGATACATGAAAAAATAATAAAAATTATAAACAATAGTAAAAATCATAACAAATTCATTGAAAAAAATTAAGAAAAAAAAAATATAAATATTCTTAAACACTTCTTTATAAAACAACGTCGTGGTTTTTCTATCGTCAAAATCTCACTCAGCTCAAATCAAAATCTTCAAACCCCACGGACTCGTAACTCTAAAAAGCGCCACGTATAATTGCTCATGACTAAATGCAGAGCTCTTCAGTAGTAAGCCGACGTGCGACAGAGACTGTCTTTGACTCTTATTGATATGCCATAGCATAGGAAACACTTCTTTATATTGTTTGTCCTTGACTCTTATTGATTGATAGAGATTGTCCTTGCGTCTTAATAAAAAAAATATCATCTAAATATAAATGAGTAAATATAATATTAATTTTTTTTAAAAAAAAAAAATTTAAAGTAATTGATAATGAGTATAGAATTACCCTTGCGGATTCAAGTTATTTCAACGATGTTCTTTTTATATATCTAAGATTTAGTTCTTTTTTTCTGATTTATATGAATATAAGCACATTTGACTAATTTTTATAAAATTTATTGAAATAAGTTATTATTTTTTTGAAAAACTGATAAGATATTAAGATAATACTGTACTTAACATAAATGTGGGATTAATTAAAATAAATCTTTTTAATTTAGTCATTAACTAATTAAATTTAACTATAAAAAACCTTCTTAAATGTGAGATTAATGAGTAATTAATTAAAATAATGTAACTTCTTTTGGAGGGAAAGTGAAAATATTTTTATTAAATGTTTTATTAAATGGGATTAGCTAGCAATTATATATATATAGATTATTTAAAAAATTGGTAATGTTACTTAACCGGTATTTTATTATTTTAAAAGTTCCAAAACATCAATTTCAAGAACAGGATTGTTTAAGCTTTAGAAATAGCAATTTTGCCATGAAGCTAGAGTTTAGTTCATATAATTATAACCATATAAACAGTAACTAGTAACATTTCGTTTTTTCATCTCCTTGTCTTGGGGACTACTTGCCAGCAATTCCACATTTCCTCTCAAGATTGAAACTTGCAGTCTCTCTCTATCTCTCTCTCTCTCTCTCCATCTATATATCTCAGCTCATCTCTTTCTAATATATACATATATCTCTGTAACTGAATCTCCGTAATTCTCCAACCTTTGTCATATCTGGAACAAGAATCCTTTTCAATTTTCGAATTATGTTTCACCTTGATTCGGCTTGAATTATTGATCGTATCCACACGTTACTTCGTAGCCCTCCACAGAACGCATTCCCAAAACCAGAAAGGTTGCGCCTTTTTTCCTCTGTCGTCGTTATTTTCTTCAATCTTGTATAACTCCAACTTGAAGAATCTCCCATTCTGTTTTGCGTCAGGTATGACAATGTCGATTCGGCTATTGTAAGCTTCTATCCAGCTAAAAGTGTTATTTTTTTTTTACATAATTAGGCAAAATCGAGGTGGGCTCTTTCTTTTTCCCTTCATTTTTCATTTTCTGGGATTAATTGTTGCAAAGATTTTTAAAATATATATATATATATATATATATAGGTTTGCTTTTATTGTTTGTTTGCTTGCTGAATTCTGGTTTTATGGTGATGCTTTACCCATAAAGCTACTTGAATGCTTTTCTCGTGAGGAAGATAACACCAAGTAGGAGTCGTTTTTCTCAAGAGTTTAAAACTAAATAGTAGCTTAAGTCAAGGAAAGTGCTTTTTCGGGGTAACTTGCACTAGAAAGGATTGTACTTAGCTCGAGGAAGTTGGCAGTCATGAACTCCTTGTGACATTGATATTATCAGCTTTCTTTCAACCCTCACTTGCTGATCCCTTTTCTTTATGCACACATGATAAATTCTGCTTTCCTGTTATTTTCCTTAATTTCATTTTTTTTATTGTTTTACTGCAGAAAGTAATAGATGCATTGACCCATCATTTTTCGCTCAGACCATTGAGCTACCAGTAAGTACATTTACATCTCCTGTTTTTACAGTTTGACATTACCTGGCTGGTGCTCGTGAGTTCCCAACTGCTTTGTTAACTGTCCTTATTTATTGAGTTCAGCGTCATGTTATCCAACCCTGCCAAATTTTCTTTTGTCATATGATTCTTTCTTGTATTGTATCCTTCCAATCTTCTCTGAGTCATCAATTTGCAATACTAGTTTCCTCTTTATGAATGTTCCCGTTTCATTGTCAAACTCTTGAATTACAATAGCACTGTTTTTTCCCCTTTTTTGTCTGGCAGAATAAGGGAGGAAAAAAAAGAGAGGAAACTTTAGGAAATGGGATGCTTTGTATCGACCCCTCAGGACACTGGCGGTATCAGGAGGAGGCCATCAAACATAGGGGAAGTGTCTGTTTTTGTTCCAGGCCTAAGAATACCTAAGCCCGCCAATTTCGCTCAGTCATTAGGCGATCATCTGTCTAAAAGCTTGGTCGAACGGCTTTCTGCTCTGAGAACGAGAATAGTTGTTATGGCCGGGCAAGAAGCTCCAACAATTACAAGAACTAGGAGGAAATCTGCCACTCAGCATGGTTTGTATTGAATGCTTAAATTTATTCATTGTACGTGATATTGTTTAATGCTGATGTATTGGTGATTCCTGCAGGAGGTTCAACATTATGTGACCTTCTTCAGGCTCTAGAAGATTATTTGCCAGTTCTTCTTGGATTGGTTAAAGATGGTAAACATTTCTTATTCTGATCCACTTTCGAAACCTGGGGAGTTTTTGCAAGCACTTAGAGAAAAAAATTATAATAATATTGCTGATAATCAGTTAATCACCCCTTCGCATTGCAGGGAGCCCTTTGCAACATAAAGTACAGTTTGTGTGGATCAATCAAGAAGATGAAGTCGAGGTCAAACTAAACTCTCACCTTCTCAAGCATTTTAACTTTTCTTTTCCAAAATTTCCAGTCTTGAATGTAGAAAGCTGTTTCTCATTTGTTCATGCTTACGTCTCCAGGAAACAGCAATGTACAGTGCTTGGTATGAAGTATTATCTGTTTTGCATTTGATGGCAACACTCTCATTATCGCAAGCTAATTTATTGCTTCTTCCAAGAACATCGATTGACGGTTATCAACCAAAGGTATCCGAAGGTAGGTTGCAATGGTTTTTGTGTGCCATACTTATGTAGTTTCAGTGATCCTCCATGAAGGTTGTATGCAAATCACTAAACATATCATGAGATGCATGTTAGGAGAAGTGATGCGGAACGTTTGTGTTCACGTAGTGGATAGCTCATTCCCACTTGTTACAATTAATATCTGTCAATAGTTAAATGGATTTATATCCAATAGTGAAGGGAAAGAAAATACCATTCTCTCAATAGTTGATCTGTAAGGCTTCATAAAGTTCATACCTGTGCATTTTAGAACCTATACTCTGTCTGTTTACCTTGTTTTGGTGCTTAAAATAGGTATGAATGCTTCTTTAAGATTCATCCATTGTTAGAGGTGGATGCTCGGTAATTTATAGAGGATATAAGATCAGGCGAGTTGTGAAAAACATAAAGCTACATGTAAGTCTAGAAATCTTTGTTAAGAGACGTCATTTATTTATACACACTGCGTATGTCATTATTCACTGGAAACAAACTTAAAAATTGGAAATTGTAAATTGTGTCCCTTGGTGAAAGACAAGCCCGTTAACCTGTGTTATTCATATATTTTTTATGTTTACCGATTAGGACTGCAAGTCTGCATTTTGGTAAACCGTTTCGCGATTACATTGACTTCATCAGATCAAATTTATTGGAAGCAAATTTAATTAAAAAAGAAAAGAAACATAGCGGTAGCCTTAGAAACTTCTTTAATATGTGAAAATTGTGTGCTTTTAAATATTTTCTAACTCCTCTTTGTGTTGGCCTTTTTCCCAACAGAGAGCCGCAGATCTTCTGTCGATGTTTTTCTAAAGGCAGCTGGTTACCTTGATTGTGCTGTACGGCACGTTTTCCCTCAGTTGCCAAATGAACTCAGGTATCTTGTTTTGTGCTTATTTTGTTATTTATTTTTATATTTTATAAATCATTAGAGTAGTCCCCACAAGCCAATGTATTCTCGTTTCCTGAAAAAAAACCCATCTACTCCAGGAGAAATCTTCCTGTGGACCTTGCTGAAGGAGTCCTAAGAGCACTTTGCCTCCAAGCGCTAGGACAGGTATTGATCATTAACTAACAGTGCTATTGCGATTGTTAAATGATCTTAATTAGTGTATGTTCAAACTTATAAAGAATGGTAAAACTACGATTGATGATTGGAGGTAACATTACATACGCGCACACCCTCGCACACACACAAGTATTTATAATGATATATCCGGCCTAGGTAGACTCACATCGGTAATGTAGCAGTTGGCATATTTGATGCTATTATTTATGTGTACTTTCTTGTCCAGTTTTGAACATTCTCTCTGGTGATGCCTTGTCTTTGGTTATTCTTGGAAAAACTAGTAAATGGGTGGGTGTTACTTTCTTGTAAGCTGTGTGAGTTTTAAACTTCTCTTGGCTTGACATATCTATCTTTTCAATAGGGTGTCGATATTCAGCTTGGACTTGCCATCGACAGTACTAAGGCTACACTGGCAGTGAAAAGAAGACTCGCATGTGAGATGGTAAAGTACTGGCAGCAGGTATTACGGCCATTTTTTTCTTTATGATTTGGCATAAACATTTTCATTTGACTTCAAAATGCTGAGGAATGCCGTTAGCATGAGTGTGACCTATACTATTAGTCTATTACTCTCCTCTTCTGAATTATCATTTTCTCAAATAAATTGAATGTCTGGCATCTTTGTTGCTCAAATTTGGTAGTCATTAAGTTGGAAATTTTCTGCACTTTTTTCATCATTTGCACTTTTCAGAATGAATGTCTTATGTCTTTTTATCTCTGTAGGCCCAAGACAACGTAATGAACCTTCCACTAGCAAATGGTTGGGGAGAAAAGCATAGGCTATTCATGAAGTGGAAATACATTGAAGCAAAGGTATCTTCTTTCCGTCTTTTTGAAGCAATAAATTTTGCCCCGTCCTTTTTTCCACTGCCCATTATTNCGAGAGGAAAAAAAAAAAAAACCGTTGTCAGGAACAATTATAGCGAAATTTTCGGGGAGCCAACCGCAACCCAATTATGGCCCTCTTTCAAATATTATTAAGGACAGTTACATCCACATGAGGTCTATGTAGTTTTAAAGAAACACAAACATGAATTCAAAATACTTAAAAAAAATGTTAAAAAAAATATATATTTACATCTATAGAAATACTAAAGTTACTCCCTCAAACTTTATTAAGGTAGAAGCAAACGGCACGAACTCTCAAGGATAGTTTTTCATGATCATCCGTATAATATTATCACGCAATCTCCTTAAGCATTGGTTTTCCAAAATATTCAATCTGCCGTTGATTTAAGAATTAGGCATATCCTTTCAGGCTGCAGCATACTACTATCATGGTCTAATTCTTGATGAGGGCAATACTGAGAAATCACATGGAATGGCTGTTGCTGCTCTACAAGCAGCGGACGAGTACCTCAAAGAGAGCAAGAAAGCTGGTGAAGCTTTTAACACATCTGTTCCTGTATCTAGGTAACTTTCTTACCCTTTCCCCTTTTTTCATCATTTTATAAAAGGGTGCATCATAGAATTATTTAATCTATACAATATTTTACATTTGCAGGAATCCTCCTCTTTGGGGAACCATGAAGTATCTGTCGGAAAAGATTCCCAAAGATACTTCAAGCAAGGTGCGAATCAACAAGGATCTTTACTCTTCCGAAAAGTAAGTCCTGAAAAGGGCACTTTCCTTTGTAGTTACTTCATTCAAAGTTGAAATGGGAAATATTTATATAAAATAACACCA